TGCCAGGACAGGAACCAAAGCCACAGAGAAACCCTGTCTCCAAAAAAAAACAAAAAAAAAAAAAATAAAAATAAAATAAAATAAAAACCAGGCTTTCTAAGCTAACATACAAACTATCAGTTTCATTGTGGCATCTCATACATAATTGTTCACGCCTCACGCTACCCACCTGCTTTCCTCCCTTCCTCAAGTTCTCCTGCTTCCTTTTCACAGGTATTTTTTCCCCCTCTCCCTTCCTTAAGATCTCTATCCTCTTATGATCCTTTTCTAATTTTCTGACCTAGAAACAGCACATATATAAACACACATAATTGCAGTATTTATTTATTTACTTATTTATTTATTTTTGTTTTTTCGGGGCAGGGTTTCTCTGTGTAGCTTTGGAGCCTGTGCTGGAACTTGCTCTGTAGACCAGGCTGACCACAAATTCACAGAGATCCACTTGTTTCTTTGAGTGCTAGGGTTAAAGGTGTGTCTCCCTTTCTAATACCAGGGAACATCTATAATTATAAAAGTAACACTCTGTCCTTTCAGTTTATGTCATGTAAATTACTTGTAAGTAATTTACAAGTAATTTACCAAGGTAAGTTGAGTGGATTTAGTTTCCTTTTTTTTTTGTTTATGAAAAAATACTGTGATGGAATAGCTAAAATCGTTAGGTTAGAACTGGTAGTCTAGGATTCTGAATGCTTTCACCTTCTACTGTTTGTCTTTCTGTCTCTATGTCCCTACTTACTGTATATCATTGTAAGATGGTATCTTTTTTTTTCAAAGCAGAGCTTACTTATTACTGATCTGATCTGAGAAATTTTTGTTCAGTGTACAGTGATTTAATGTACCAATCTCTAAAATTTATTATACTTTGGAGAATCACGGGCTGTTTGCCATCTTATGTCTTAGGCTATTTCTTACTCTCACATGTTGATCATCTGTGTTTGTGATTAGTGGAAGTGAGTTTGTGAAACCTGTCTTTGATCAAATATGGTTTTTCCACATGGATTGCTTACTTAATCTTTCTTGGTTTTTGGGTTACTTGTACCAGAGAGAGACAGTTCTAGGCTTTCAGTACCAATTCACAGAAAGCTAAAACATGCATGTTAGCTGATGTTATTTGGGAAGCAATGCGTGGTTGTTTAAAGTCATAGTACAAATGCTGGTTTAAGGTTTTCATATCTATAGTTGGATAGAGTGAAATATGAAGTGATGTTTAAAATCTTGATGATCTGAAAGGATTGGCTCCTCTTCTGCTCATCTGCCTACAGTGTCCTTAAGGAGTCAATACCAGGTGTCCAGTGCTAACTTGTCCCGTGGTTCCTTTATCTAGTCATAGATCTATGGTTTCTTTTATTAACAGAATTCTGCTTGGTCAGAGTCGCGATGGCATCGTGTTCAGCACTGATGACTATTTTCATCATCAAGATGGGTACAGGTACAATGTTAATCAACTTGGTGATGCCCATGACTGGAACCAGAGCAGAGGTTTGTTTTGGGCCAAGACTCCTGGGATGGAGTATTGAGTCATACCTGGGTTTTATTTTGACTTAGACTTTTACTGGCTGAGTGACTTTGACAGAGTGTTAATAACCTGGAGTCCAATTTCTTCTTATGTAAGACATGATAGTAATTATATTTGCCATCTCAGGTAAAGATTGTGAGAATCAGTGAACTTAGATAAAGTGGGATGAACTGTAGACAGTATACCAATATAAGCTGATAAAATACAGGTGGGGGACATTTTGTTTTATTTTATTTTATTTTATTTTGGATTTTCGAGACAGGGTTTCTCCGTAGCTTTTGGTTCCTATCCTGGAACTAGCTCTTGTAGACCAGGCTGGCCTCAAACTCACAGAGATCCGCCTGCCTCTGCCTCCCGAGTGCTGGGATTAAAGACGTGTGCCACCACCGCCCGGCCAGTGGGGGACATTTTAATATGCTTTCTTTTTTACACTTTATGAATAATTCTAAGAACTCTGATACTTTTGTATTCTGAAAGCCGTTTGCACCCCATATGATACTAATGTCTTTAAATCTTAATAACATGCCTGTATTAGTTTTCCTCATTGGTACTGTTATGAGAACTTTATCAGATACTTCAGTTTTAGAATACATGGGTCAGTTTCTTTCCATCATAAATAGTGATCTCAATCCTGATAGACTATTTGAGTCAGGTGGGAATCCTCCCCTCTTTTAAAAAGGGTTCGACCTTGCTCAGCCCTAGGAATTCGGCTTCCATTTGGTTTAGAATGAGGACTAAAAACTGGACCTTTGCGGAGCAGTCACACATGCCTTTAATTCCAGCACTGGGAGGCAGAGGCAGGCGGATCTCTGTTCGAGGCCAGCCTGGTCTATAAGAGCTAGTTCTAGGACAGCTAGGATTGTTATACAGAGAAACCCTGTCTCGAAAAAACAACCCCCCCCCCCAAAAAAAAGTGGGCCTTTAAAATATTTTCATTAAAAATATTTTTGATGTATAAAGGTGTTTTACTTGGATATAGATCCCTGTAACTGGAGTTACAAGCAATTGTGAACCACCATGTGGGTGCAGGGACTTAAACCTGCATTCCCCAGAAGAGCAGTGAGTTCTCTAACAGATGAGCCATCTCTCTAGCTCCAGTTTTGTGTGTGTGTGTGTGTGTGTGTGTGTGTGTTAATTTAGATCTAGAACTATCTAAAAATGACATTTGCTCTAAATTACTTTTAAAAACCTACTTTTGGGGGCTGAAGAAATAGCTCAGTGGTTAAGAACACTGCCTGTTCTGCCAGAGGACCAGGGTTCAGTTCCCAGCACCCACATGACAGCTCACAACTGTCTGCCATCCATCACCAAGTGATTTCACACCCTCATATAGAGATGTGTAGGCAAAACACAAACGCACATAAAATAAAATAAATCATTTAAGAAGAAAAAAGAACATAGTTTTGGGTTGATAACATGGTTCGGTGAGTAAAGTATTAACTAGTCTCTAGGATCTGCCATTCTTAAACGTACCTTCAGTAAGTTACTCCTTGGTGCTGAGACCCAATACCCAGCACGAAGCAATTTAAAGACAGTCTTATTTTGTCTCACAGTTTAAGAAGGGATGCGTGGCAGGGAAGGCCTCACAGGAACACAATGCAACTGGTCACAGAGTATGGACTGTATAAGTTAAAGGACCCATTTCTTCCAGCCTTGCCCCACCTCATAACGGTACCTCAGCCTTCCAGAATGGTGTTACTACCAGTAGGGGATTGATTGTTTGAATATGTGAGCCCATGGGGGGCATTCCCCCTTCACAGCATAAACAAGTACACCCATCCAATCCTTTGACATTGCAACACAACCCTGTTCTTTGCAATGTTCAGTCTAGTTACCAAAACAAAACACCAAACTTGCGAAAAGTAAATCTCATGTGTTTTTTTTTTAAATATTTATTTATTTATTATATACACAATATTCTGTCTGAGTGTATACCTGCAGGCCAGAAGAGGGCACCCGACCTCATTACAGATGGTTGTGAGCCACCATGTGGTTGCTGGGAATTGAACTCAGGACCTTTGGAAAAGCAGGCAATGCTCTTAACCACTGAGCCATCTCTCCAGCCCCA